TTGATCGAGACTGGACACGCGAGGGCACACGCGTGTGACTCCTCTCTGTGCGATTGCATGTCTCGCAATGTTCGTCGACGGATGCATCACGGTTTAAATATGGCGGAGTGTGTCTTGGCAGTTTGCAATGCCCCGGTTCACATCGTCGTGAACGTGTTCGTAAGCGTCAGATAACTATTCCTATCAGTTTTTTTTCGTTTGATTTTTGAACATTCCCCCAGCTATATATACATATTGATCGAATCGAAACAATCGTTTAATCTGACGTCGGTTAAACACAATGCAAAAAAAAAACCTGGTAAAAACTGTTTCGATTTCCAAGAATACAAATGACTTTTGTTTAAACAGCCTTATGTACCCCAGGGATAAACAAAAATTACTGTTGACTAATACTGTTCGTAAAATGGTAAATCATTTTCTTACATATCTGTGAATTGGGGACTTAACGCGTTTGCTACCACAATAATTTTGGTAAGAAATCAGTTCACAAAGATCACACACTGAATTCGTGTCGTCTCGATTGGGACGTTCAAAAATGTAACGATGACGTTCGATTGGTCTTTTGGTGCAGTTGTGCCTTTTTCGATATACTAACATAAAATTGCAAAATCATGACTCTATGGTTCGTACACGCAAAGCAGTCGATTTAACACACAAGAATTGACATCCCACTGATGTGAGACTGGTAGCAAGAACGTTAAGAAGCGCCATATTTACCCCCACCCCCACCCAGAATGTTCAACCCGGTAACGCCACACGTGCACGGTGTTGCTATATTTTTCTTTTTAGCTGTTTCATTGTTAAGAATGGACCCATGACACATCCGTGAAGCTTTCACGAGAATCGTAATTTTGTCTTATCGATTATTCCTCGATCTTTCGTGTAACTCGCGACGAACGATTTTGTACGTTACAATATCACAATAAATTGCCAGTCGAGTATGGGACCGTCTCTTCTCCCCCATTCTTTGCCCTCCTTCTCTTTCACACCCCAGAAACAGTCATCCCCAGACTTTTCTCAAATTTTTCCGTTCTATGTGTTACATGGAACGACAAAAACCAGTGAAACTCGAGGGAACAACTGAACCCGGAAGCGTGAATAAAGTTTTCCCTGATCCGGCGTCGTGATCCCATTTCTTCGAAACGACCCAAGTCCTCGGTTGGCTCTTATAATTAGAACTACTAGCTATATTACTCATCTTAAAGTCACGAAGGTGGATTGCGACACACACGTTTGATGGACGTACTCGAAAGTTTCTAAATAATACATATATCTAATATATATATATATATATCATTTTGTCCCTGCCCGCGGAAAACATTGCACCCCCGATTTCGTTTACTCGTGTATATACAACGCTTTCGAGCATTCTTTGTTTCTTATTCTCGCGTTCCACGATCACGTGTCGCTCTCTAAACCACTAAAAACTGTATCGATTTAAATTGCCGTACGTAGTAACACACTTGAAGGGCGGGTTGCGATCCCAGTTCCCCGGTAAAATGGTTTTTAGAGACGGTGAGAAACGTCTCTTCTGTTTTGTTTCGTTTGACAATTAATCCCCACGGAGTACATAACGTATATATCTCCATATCTCGTGCCCACCCCCCCCCTCCCAACCCCGAAAGAATTGTTAATTCGTTCTTCGGTACCTTGCACGTTCTTAAATTATCCCATCTTATCATTTACCATATACATATAATATATAATATATATATATGTGTGTGTATATATATATATATGTGTGTGTTGATCAGTTACCAATTAAAAATTAGTAGTACCTATAAGGTCATCATCACAGCTAATTTCTTATCATTCTTTTTCATTTAAACATTATCGATTGGTTGATTATTTCGCTTTGTAATTCGTGCCCATCCTAACGACGCCATGGTTGTTTCGTTAACGTAACCTTTTTTAAACAGCGTCCCCGTACCTCCACCCCCTTCCTATCCTGACACACGCAACGAAAAAGGTCTCTGGCTTAACCTTCGACCGTCTTTTCAAACAATTCTTGCCCCCTCCCCCACACCCCAAAATTTCTTATTTACTTTACACACATACTGACTATTTCTCGCTTCTCCGTGCGAAACTCGAGCAGGTAATACGCGTATTGCTGCAACTTTGAACATTCGAATTATCCCTTTAGGCACACGCAATCTCGATTCGAACGGAACAAAACGCCGTTGCCACACCGAGGACACACACACGCAATCTCTACGCTCTCAATATGTATATATGTACATATACATGATACACGTGCCCCCCCTTCCCCCGTTGGCTTTCGACTTCGTTCGTATGTACACTAATTTTTACAGGACACTTTTTATACACGCGTTCTGTTCAATATTACACCCCCCCACCCATCCCCCTTCCACGTCGTTCTATATATATATACACGATTCGAAAAAAACTGATGCGCGTCTGTGCGATCACCACCACACCTAATCAACGGTTCGCCTCGGCTCCCCTTAATTCACCGATCACCCACAGGACGGCAGTGTGTGTATGTTTTTCTTTTTTTTTGTTTCGTTAATTCGTTTACCTCGCGCCCGATGCTGAGCTTTGGAGAATTATATTCACAAAGGCTCGTACAAAGAATTTTCAAACGATCCCTGGCACGTGTATTTACAATTATCATATTTTAAAGACTAACGGGCGTTCTCACGCGGTTATTCCCCGTGTGGTATGCCTGAAGTATGATCGTTCACTGGACAAATACTGAAGCGCCTGTAGGCGGCCAAATAGAAAGAGGGACACACGCACCATCTGTCACGGACGAAACGCACGAAAAGTATATTACCGAAGAGAAAAGAAAAAAGGAGTGTTATCGATTATCGAGCAGCGTTTCTGGAAAGAATCGCTGAAAAAAAACACGTTACTCGGGATATTTTCCATCTGTAGACGACTCCACCCCCCTACCGTCCAGAGCAGAAACGATTGCGCAATGGTCCCCCGCCCCGTTGACGCCGATGGAACTGTTTACCCTTTCGTAAGATTCGAAAATAAACGCGGAAGCCAACAGAGAAAATCCCCGGGGGGGGGGGGGGTTAAGGTAATACGCATAGAAGTGTTCGAAAGAAATTACGCAAGAATTTAAAACGAAAGAAGGGAAGAAACAAATTAAGAAACGTACGACTATGAATAATCGAATTACGAAAGTGAGAGGAACGAAGACGCGGATGTTTTCTCTTTTTTCAATCCCCCCCACCCCCCTCGATAGAGTTTTGTTCTCCTGATCTTTTGGTGTGAACCGGTGCACGGCACCGACCGCCGATCGTGAAAAAAAAAAGGAGAACAAGAGAGATCGAGGGGCAGAGAGGAAAGATCGTATATGTGTGTGTCTGACAAGAGAACCGGTTGCCGATCGAGAGAAACCAATGGAAACTCTCGTCGGACTTCACATCAGAATTCCTATCGGCTATTTTCACGCGCGCATGGCACGACAACGACGATGACGTGCCGATGGTGGTCAGAGAGATGCTACAGATACACGATTTAAAAATTTCACCTTACAGGACTACAAATACAGAGAAAGTAATCGAAAGTTCGAAATTGCACGTTTTTGCTGTCTTTTTGTTCTTCTCCCTATCTCCTCCCATTCACTCCCACACGCAAACAGACAGACAGACAGGACATTCGCACAACATGCACACGGACGCACACTGGATGAGATCTGCATATCATACACCGACAACTTATCCTCGTAATTCGGCCTACAAACTAACTTACGCGAAAGAAAGAAAATAAGTATTTCTACGGGAAGAATAATACCGACGTAATTTAAAAAAAAAACTATCTGCTTCCGAATAAAACGAAAAAAAAAAATCCAACGTGTATCATGTTAAAACACCGATTCAAAAGTAATTTTGGTCAGTCGATGCGTTCAAATGGGGCTTGTGGTGCTCCGGGTCAAGAGAAAGGAAACGAAAATTTTTTGTGCAAAGAAATTAAACTATCGTTGTCAAGAGTTTAGTTTATAATGTGCACAGTCGAAACTAGGCGCGACATTGTTGGAACGAAAATAAAAAATAAAAATAAAAAGAAAATATACAATTCACTGTCGGCGTTAAACGAACGAGAATTTTCGTGTTCCAAATGTTAGCTACCTGTTCCATTTTGGACTGAACAAAAAACGAGGGGAAAAATTTGTCTGACTTCGCGTTGCTTGTCTAATATCGGATTAGAAAGAACCGTAGACGGTGTTTCCCCTTTCCAATGGAAACCACAAGTCCGTAGGTGAAGAAGAAGAGTCTTAGCGATAGTCTAACGACAAACTCTTTGTTATACCTTAATAGATTATGTAAAAATTAATTTCGAATTTGTCACGTGTAAGAATTCATCATAAAAATCTGTTAATTTAAGCGCAAGTTATTGCTCGATAATGAACTTTTCTGAAAGAAAGAAAAAAAAAAAAGAAATTATTACACATACATCAAACATACATATCAGATCATGTTCTTCATCACTTCATTCGCTCGATCACATATTTCACTCCTTCATCAATGAATTATTCTCGAATTCCAGAGAATTAATCTCATCTGTATACACATAGGAAAACTCGTCATTTATATCTTATCGTATTACTTTGCAGAAGTGTTGCAAAGCTGCGAAGAAAAAAAAAAAGAATAAGAACACCTTCGATAAAATAAGCAAGATAAATAGAAACGAAAAATTTCACTTGGAATCGATCTTGCGAGGACAAGTTGATTATGCCCCTAAGATTCTCAACGAACTTATGGATTACACCAAAAGCACTGAAACCTTAACAGAAACTGAGAACGACAAAATTAATTATCGATTAATAGTCATTAGTCAGAGACATACTGAACTGATACCTAGAGTTTATGCTAAAGAGCAGTAGATGAATATATGCGACACTTAATGTTTACCATCTATGTGTAAGTAATTAAAGTAATTCCTGGCAAATAAAGAAGTGATAGCATAAGTTCTATGACAAAACCATTGTAAAGATTTGTTAGAATTACTTTAGAAAGAATTCCGGACGTAATAGAAAAGAATAAAACCATATCTCAATGTTCGACGGCGCTACGTCGTAGCAATTTTGACCCGTATAAAATAAAAAAAACGAAGAAAAAAAAAGAGAAAACAAAATCGATTATAGCTATTGTCTCTAAAAATAGCTAATGCAGCTTTGCCTGTGTCTTCGTACCATTTCGTCAAACATATAATATTAAGTGTATATATGTGTGTATGTGTATGTGTGGTGTGTATTTTTTTTGTTGTATGTGTATACGTGTAATGCGTCTCTGCAAGTTAATCATATATAATAATAATCTAAAATACATACGTTTATATCCTCATAGACGGCGCATAATAGAATCGTTACAAGTTATCATATACTTGAATCACGGTTCGCGGCGACAGACGCACCTGCGTCAATTATCCCCTTAATGTTTTTTTCTTTCGTATGCTTTGTATAATAGCTTCAAAGAACAAATACAATGGTTCGTTTCTTTGTTTTTCCTTTTTTTTTTTCACTCAGCATCCCATACCGTGAAACCGAAGACACTGGTGCCCTGAACTAGTTGCATGTTTAATATACTCGTATCGTCTTTTGCTTGAAGATTGTGTTATCGCGCGTTTGTTCCTTGTGTTTAAACACTTTATCCTTTTGGTGTGGGGTTTTTTTTTCTTTATGTTGTATGTGTATTCCCGGAACGAGCAGCTTGATATATCACGTACAAGAGAAAAAATACATCCTTAAATCCAATTGGCGAAGGTACGACGACGATTATCGCGGGCCTGTCTCAAATTGTTTTTTGCTTTTTTTTAGGAGCTTGTTGTCACAGTGTGCAACGGTCCTCTGTTGGTCTTTGGGTATCAGGCTTGGACGTTTAATATCATCTTCAGATGATTCGAGATATCGCAACTCCTGTCGGCTTGCTGGCAACTGGTCATCATCAGTCTCGTGGTCCAATGGCTCGGCGGTTTCGGAAGGCTGGCCGGTGACGGTGGCTCGGAAAACTTTGCACCCGCGTAGAAGCTGTTCGTCGGGCTTCCCCGTGGACTGTACTCGTACCGTAGCGGTGAATTTCTTGTGCTCTTGGACGAACAGTGTGGACTGCAGTTCAATCGACCACTAGAATTCCTGCCGTACGATCGTCCGCCGTTGAAGAACGTCGACGACTTGATCGCGCCGGAGCGATGATGGTGCCGCTCGACACCGACGTTCGGTGACCCGTGCCGTTCAACCTTGTTGTTCAGTTTCGGCGCCGAATTCGTCATGGCTTCTCCGTCGTCGTTGATTTCGACCTTCCTTGTCACTCACAAAGTCAACCAACCCGTTCTGCAAAAAACGAATCATTTCGGTCTTAATCTCGTTTGCTTTTAAAAGGCTTCATTAAAACAGAAGTCCGACACCATTTGATAAAAACGATAAGGATCGTCAACGAAGTCAATTCATGTTTCTTATATCAACTTTGTCGCAACGTCGTATCTCGTGCCCAACCGAATTGGAATCACGGGGCCCAGAAATGATAAAAATTCTTTTTTTTTTTTGCGTCAAAGTCAAGAACGAAGTAAAATAAACGATTTTTTCATTGTAAATAAAAATATTTATACCTGCGACTTGTAAAATGGAATAACGTGAGCAAATTGACAAAGTTCAATAGAATCATTGTTTTACCGTTAACGTAGTGAAATCGATAAAAATAAATGTAAATCTTCATGTAGTTTTTGTTTCTAGACATTAGTCTATGAAGGCGTGAATAATGAACCGTATGATAATTGATTAAAGATTTTAGAAACACGAAAAATTTATTTTTGTTGGAACATTTGGCGTAGAAGAGTTGGTTTTTATTAATACTTATGTCCTCTTTAGTACCTAATCTTTTACAAAAACTTGGTTTTCTTCTAACTATGTATTATTATTTGAATGTATAATGAAATCCTGTTGTATTATTTTCGGTATTTTATTCTTGTTCTATTATGTTGATGTGCTATTAACAGCTCTTATAACACAGTATCGAGTGGCGACTTTCTTTACAGACTGCTGCCTACGGTCAACGTCATCACTGTCCATTTCAGGGAAAAAAGTTGCAAAAGTATTATTATATATTTATAATTGCGTGTAATGTTGAATACTTGGAATAAAGTTTCAAAAAATTTATGTCACGTCCGTGTTTACAAAAATTTTACTACGGACAAAGAGTCTAAAACATCTATTTTTAGACGATCAGCCGTTTACGAAAATTTTCATAATTACTTTTAATCGATCGTGTGATAAATTTCAAGTGATTTCACCATATTACCACCTTAAGAATTATTAGACTAAATGATAAAAAACTTTTATTTTTCTGTTGAAAATTCATTTCTATCAGACAGATCTGGTATAGTTTACTGATAAGATTATTTTACTAGATATTGGGTGTTATCATTGAGTGTAATATTTTTCATTAAATCTAAACAGATTAACTGTCACTATTATTTAATCTGTACTTATTAAATTGTTGCCATGTGTAATTTGTGTCTGGACACAATTTAATAAACAGAATTCTTGCAAATACAGTGATAGTCATAAGAAAGTTTAACACAAAAACAAGTTAACATTACAAAACCAAATATAAATTAACAGAAAAACAGACTTTACGATTACAATTGATTTCTAACAAAAATATACATTATGTAAAGTCAAAGCAATAGTACGAGTACATATAAAAATTATAAAGTATATATGTATTTTGTTTACAACCATAAGAATAAACATAAACAATGAATGCACTAAGTATGACTATATATATAGAGAGTATATTGAAACGTAGCCTCTTATACTATTTGTAAACAATTATTTAAATGTTAGTTACCATATGGTAGTCATACTAAATGAACGTTTACTTTCTCCAACTTCAAATATTGCTCACCTAGCTATTAATTGTTGAAAACATAGTTCACTACTTGAAAAAGTAGCTGTTATTCTAAAATATTTAAACACAAGAAATTTCTTTTGGAAGTTTGATCCTCTTCAGAATTGGAAAAGTATTTTAAAAATTCATTGCTCCTGTGTTGGGATCAAATTTTATTTACCAGTAGTGGTATTTTTCTGCAAACCTTACCAAGTAGATTTACTTATAACTTCTATTAACATTATTCGCTATCAGTGTTTGCATTCATGTGGATACTGCATTAGATGTGCTACTAACACAGATATATAAGAATAGTTTTATCAGATCTATTACTTTTACAATGTTATTAGCACAAAACAAACATAATTTTTCATTGTTTATAACGGAAGTATTTCACGACCAACTCAATAAGTACTACATATGTTAAAAATATGAATTTTAAACTTTGTTTTGACCGGCACTGTATAGGAAAACGGTACGTAATTAACCACAGTATATATACAATTAAGCTTACCGTATTATGTTCGCGGGCCACTTTTTAAAGATGAAACGAAAAAGTTATCGGTGGTATTTGTGTTCAGTGATTTTTCTAACTGCGCAATAATCTCGGGATCCAGGGCAAAAGGGTAGGGGGAACGCGGAGGAATAAACTTGGTGGGGTGCCCCCACGAACCTCCTCTGTGAGCGCAATGCTACCTCGCCCCGCTCGTTTCGAGTTCTCTCGCAGTCCTCCCTATTCCTGTTTTTTGCGAATTTGACCACATTCGGTGACCGTTGGCCACCTCTTACACTTTTTTTTTCGCCCCACGAAATGAAAACACACGCGTCGTCTGACTTCTCCCACTTCTTCTCAACGCAGCTGGAGAGGCGCAAGATGGCGGACACGAGTTGTTTGTTTTCGCTGCCTCCACGGACTCCTCACGCAACACGAATCACCGTTCGGCAACGAAGCTTCTCCAATTTTTTCCTTTCACCCACACGCACGCACGCGCACGTACACATATATTCGTAAACGTGAAATTTAACTTTGTATCGTAATATCGCGTACGTGACTGTACATGCACGCGCACTAAACAACGTTCATTCTATATGTATCCTTGGGCAAAAAGCTTATGGTCATTCTCTCTCATGAACAATCTCCGTGGACCTTCGCACCTTTTCGTTTTTCTCTCACTTTAACCTCTTCCTCTTCGCTTCGCCGACTCACACAACGCACTCTCTGAAACCGGATACTGCGATCGAACTCGTAAACTGTGTGCTCCTAAGCACGATCCTTCTCCAACACTGTCTCTTGCCTTTGTGAAGACGCAAGTCTATCTTAAGGGTTATGAACGGTCCCCTCTATTCAGGCTCGGCCAATGATCGACAGCGTTTTCATTCACGTGACCTATTCCGTCCAATCACGGCGCTTCTCTATCGACTATTCTCGGCTCGCTTCGTAGAATTGATTATAACACTTTAAAGATGTGTTGTAAATAAATTTTTGCAATGTCGGATATATCAGAAATTTGTTCAACTTTTTGTTGCTCGATACGCTGATTTACCGTGTTATTCTTGAATGAAATTATTGGAAAAACTGATGTTATGTATAACGATCGGAAGGTGGTGGGAAGCCGATTGGTGGGACGCAGTAAAGCACGACACCTCGTGACACTGGTCCGAATTTAAGAAATGGTTTTACATCCCTTATTGTTTCTTTTCTCGTTTGTAGTCTGCGAATGTTTATGCATGTTTAAATCTTTATATATTAAATGTCGTAACCCAACAATAAACAAAAATTTTATTTACTTTATCGATACGTCTACTAGGTTGGAAACCAATAACCAAACTTTCCATTTCATTGCAATATACATATACATATACGTTCAAAAATATTATAAATGCATTAAATCTGTGACGTATTTATCAGATTGGCTTCGTACAATGTAAATGAAAATATGTACACGTTATATAATGTTTTAATATATCAAATGCGTACGACAGAATACGTAATGGAACAAGAAACATTGTGACATGTATTGATCATGTCATTCAAGTTTGTTTCAGTATATCGAGTTTCGTTATTTAAATTCATATAGTTTCCAAGTCATTCGAATTCTAATTTCGAGAGTCGACACGGGATGACTCGTAAAAAGCAACGATGCAAGAACTAAAGGAGAAGTAGTCTATGGAGACATATGGTGGGGAAAATGACCTGCCTACCATTCTCCCACCGCGACGATCTTTTCAAACTCGTCGAGCTATACATGTGCAGCATACGCTGATGATGGGGAAACATGGTACGAGGTGGAAGCGCTTGAGCATCATCAACAAAGATAAAGAAATACGTTCTTCAATGCAAGATTGGGAAATTCGGTGTGAATTATCGTTTGTTGTTCGAGGAAAGCTTAAACAAGTAAAAATAAATTGAAAGGAAAATATTTCACAAGAAATTAAACATGGTGTCGACATTTTTCTCCGTCGATATCAGTGCAAAACAACGGTGACTATTGCGAGAAGCAAGCAAGTGGTGCCGCCATTAAGCTACGGCGAGATATCCGAAGTTCGCGAGAGGCTTGACGTCAGTAGCCAAGAACGCTGATAATCTTGCGACGCAGATATCGCTACGCGGAATATCAGGTGATATCCTCGGTGGTTTACGGTCGAAATTAATCAGATATATGAACGCATACGGTGGTTTATGGTTTAATATACGGCCTCGAGAATATTTGTAGGCCCACAATGGGCGGGGTCGTGGCTTGGGTCGAGTGAGAGACATGGAGCGACCTCAGTGTTCTCAGTGGTGAGTTGCACGGCCATCGCCGACCGTCGGTTTCGCCTAGCGCAACCAACGTTACTCTGCTATGACATCGCTCTGAAAATCCCAGATTATCCCAGTAAAAGGTAGGAGTTTTCCCACCGAAATTTGGATGCGCGCTATCTGTCTTTCTCTCTTTCTGTCTATCTATTTCTCTATCTCTCTCGCTCGCTCGACCCTGTCTTCATTTCACCCTGACACGGTGTTGAGCTGTCCCTCAACACTTCCACCATCGCTTTTATATACATACGTAGTAGATATCCCAAATGCGTTTTTCTGCTGACTGAACTTGAAATATTTTAATCATGCTACATCGTCGTCCTCGAAAATTTTCGTCTTCCCCACTTCCTTCTGCTTCGTTTTCCTTTCTACCTCCCTTTCTACCTCTCCCACCATTCCATACCTATTTTGCTCACCCTTCGTCTTTGTCCGTTCGGTTCGTCATTCGTACTTATATACTTGGCTTTCATTGTGGTAATTCCCACCTTCGATTTTTAATAAGTGTCTCATCGTAAACAGAGGATGCACAACGTGGCGAAATTCTTCTACGTGCACAGGGATGGTTTATTAGAATATGTTTAATCGCACTGGTGCATGTGCGTTGTACCTTATGGTTTTTATACCGATAACAACGCTGCTGCTCTTTAATTCATCCAGTATGTACATATATACCTTATCCTCTATCCTATTCGCATTGAGGTCCATGTATATAGGCACACATGTATGCGCGTAACATGGGTTTGTTTATATGACTGTTTCATAATGTGTGAGCGTGATTTCAGGAATGAATTGACTACACGGAAAGTAAAACAAAAAGTTTATATACCGAGTGATATGTCATAGTGAATACAGTGACACTTTCTTGTTATCGAAGCATTGCAACTTTCGACCTGGAGAAAAAGCTGTCAGGGTATTTGTCTCACTTCTGTTAATGACTGTATAGTACAAATATGTTATTTCATTTAATATAATTCTAATAATTCAGTAATATACAAAGATGTTATCGTCGAAGATTGTTTATTGTGCCGTCTATTGCTTTTCGTACTTGCCCTTGTTCTTGACATGGAAATGTGTTGTAACAAGCATGTTGTTATTTGGGAACCAGAACATTTTTATTTACGTTAATACAAACAGTGATTTTGAAATTATTTTGGTGTGCTTGATTCGTCTTTGAAAAAATGCTCTATATACTATATTGTATACAAAGCATCGTAGCAAAAGTTATATGATTTTAAGGTTAGGAGGAGTACATGTCACCATTATTTTTCATAGATTGCTTATGTACTTAGCTGGGAAGGTATTTTGAAATTTTTTAAACGTACACTGTATATTTTTTACGTAAAACAAATGAATGGAACATATTCTATTGTTTTGCTTTAAAAGGAAATTACTTTGAACTGTTACTACGCATATACAGATCTCAGCGCTGCGGAAACAGGGTGTTTACAAATTGTAACATTAAAACTTCGTTCTCGTAGTCTCGCAGGAACAAGTCGTAGGCAACAATCGCGATCTCCTTACCGTTCTATCAAGTCCGCACTCATAAATGCATAGAATTTTTCAAAAGTGGTTGTAGGACGCCTAGCTCATGCATAAAAGTTCATACGCCACCGCATAATACTAACAGGAATCCTTTATTTATAACTATAATGTTTGATTCACCATTGAACGTAATTGTATTAGATGTATCAATAAAAAGTCCACCATTTTTTATCAAATCTATATGCACTTACAAGAAAATCAGTGATCTATTCTGTTGTTACGATATCAGTCACTTTTCTTCAACACTTGATACCATATTATGTTCAGAAAATGGAGGGGACCTATTTGAATTTTATTTTTTCCTAACATTGATACATCTAATATTTTTATGCAGAATGAATAATTATGTTTATGCGTCATAGATAGATTATATAGTATAGTTTCTTTTCAAATACAAGCGGAAGATTTTATTGCGTGAACCGTTCGCTCCTACGAAGCCATCATTCCCTATAACCTCGAGCTCAACCCCAACGGTGGTGGTTGGAGCCTCTAAGTATCGGATAAAAGTTTCGTGAAAAATAGGTTCTCATCGCCGATGGAGCTGGGAAAAGTTAAATTAGAAAATTACATCCGCGACAGTCAGCATCGTCTCATCGTCTTGTGCATATCCTACGAAACGTGAACCACGATCAAGTGACTCCGCGTCTACCACTTAACGTAGTAATAATAATTTGAAAAGAATTATTAATGATTTGCTTCGGGAGAGAGAATCAGTTTTCTCAGTGTTCTATCTCTCAAAAGGCTGGTTACAATACACACCAGCCACGCAGTATTTCGATTCGATAGGTGAAAGGATCAAGAAGCCTGCAAAAAAAGAATGATTAATGCTAAACCAAACAGGGGTGCAATTTTACTCGAATAATAGGCGACGAATAGAAAACATTGTATGCATCAAATTTTATCCCGATGAATTCCGTTTTACGAGATTTTCTCCTCAGAAATAGCCTGTACAAGTTAACCCATGATTTGGGGATCAATGAAATGGAATTTTGGCCCAGGTTTTACGTGATTGTGAAGCGTTGTGGAGCGAGACCCGCAGTATGGGAACCGCATCGACGATAACGCGGGCGTCATGGCATTAGAGCCACAACGTTCTCTCGGGTTCTCGTGTCAACACATTCCCGACGCCCACGACGAGTGACGCATGCGCCCTAAGCGCCTTGTCGCTCTACCTCCTTCTTGCTCCTTCGGTCAACCCTCAATCCCTCTCCTCTTCTCTTTCGCTGATTCACTTGCCACTGTTCTCTCCTCGTTTCTCTCTCCCTCTCTTTCTCTTTGAGCGTCCACACAAAGGCTCCCTTCTATTCCTTGGATACGCCCCTGGCTTTTGTACGAAGCACCCTTCTCGCCAGCCCAGGCCTCTGGAAATGTCTAATTCTTACGAAGGGTGCATAGACAATGCAGATCGTTAAAATAATTTCTGACTTCACAGGATTTCCTCCTTGTACAACAAGGAACCTTCGAAAAGTTTGAAAATTCACCAGTGTTTCATGCACCTCCATTTCCAAAGACGACCGTCACGGGTTCAGATCCATGGATCGTGACGGCCCTGGCCGGTAAACCTAATCGTTCACCCTCCCCTCCATCGCTGAACGTAGCTGGGAGTCCCCTCCTCTTCCGCTCCCACTGCACACACCAATTTTCCAATTGATAAGGGTGCACAGTTGATACAGACTAACCCTATCCTTCCATCCTCTCTCTCTCTCTCTCTTGCTGTCACTCCGTCTTTGTCCCCGGGCCCCTCTTTTCTCCACTGTTAAAGTTAACATCGATAATGTCGGTTTGTTTTTCGAAAGCATGTCGAGAGCCCCAAGCCGCGCACCGTAGCGGTTTGCAGTTTCGAATGGAAACATTCTGCCCGAGGAGAGCGTGAGAACTTCTGTCGGGATATTTATGAAGTAGCGTTTTTTCTTTCTCTTTTTCTCTCTTCTCTCCCTCTCCATTTTCTCATTTTCGAGGGGAGGCTACTTCTTTCTCCTCTCCTTTCCTGTCGTCGATATCGGGAAACCCGAGAGAGAAAAGTTTCGCTCGATGTTCGGTATCGAGCGGAGATCCGGATAAACGAAAGGAGGGGAAACTTGTTCCTAGCGAGGCAGCCGGAGCCGTACGTTACGTAAAATTAACAATCATGTTCCGAAACTCACTTTCCCGTCTGGGATTTCGGGAGAGGGAAGCGGATGGCATGAGAACGTTCTGCGAGTCTGCGAGTCGACGTCGGGACGCCTCGAGAAACGAAACCCCGGGCCACGCAATGCCTGTCCTTTGACTCGCGATGGAAGTCTTCGGGACGAGCTAGTTCTTTTTCTTTTCTTTTTTTCTTTTACTGAAACCCGACGCAAAATGTAGTCGACGATGAACATGATATTATAATATTCAGCCGTGAATTCTTCGTTATTTTGTTATGTTCCTTTTTTGGAATTAAAAGTCAATGGGGATATCTCAGTTTTCCTAGATTTTCGAGTCGAGCAACCTTGTAACTGCTAAACTGCAGATGTTTATGCAATGTGTGAATACATTTCAGACCCTGGAAATCATTTGATTAATCTGTAGACAACTTGACAATTTTATGATTCCATTTGTATTAGTTTGTTTACAATATTTACAGGGGCCATAAATGTATAAAATCGGTCGTTTAATAATTACATACAAATTAGTTTTCTAGTAGATTTTGAGTGACCCGTTAACCGATCATTGTCCATGACAGCGTGTAACATTGAGGATAGCTTGTGCTACCTTAACCTCCTGCCAATGCCGGGTCACTTTTGACTCGTTGTGTCCTAAATATACGCATGATAGACACGCTGTAGAATGCAAGAAAATTTATTTAATACCTTTATGTTAGCAATATTTTATGTACATTGTGCATAAAAATAAAATAAAAAGTAAAATGTTTATGCTTTTCAGACATATTCAATTTTTCCACGTGTTAAAGCTATTACGTAATGTTACGTACTGACGGTTTAGATCTGGTTTCCAAAATATATATATATATATATATCGCACCCCTGCAAGAAAATTGTCACAAGTTGAAAACATGTAACTTTTGAGGACAGCGAAAAGAAACTGATTCATTCACGTAGCACTTCATATATTAAACAAAGTGACACTAGGGGTCCACATAATGTAACATTTTTCTGAATGATGGAACTACGTATTGGAAGACATTTTATGCAATGAAATGAAAATAGACAATTTTTTACTTGTGACACTTTTCTCGCCAGGATGCGATATATATATAATGAAAATTTTGGAGTGGGTCATAATCGGCCCTGTGTTGGCCTAAATGCGTTGTTATTAGGTGGTCGATTGTTGGTTATTACGAGGATCAGGTTAGTTCTCCAAATGTAGTACATTATTTTCCCCAAGGAAATCGGAAAGCCATTTCCAATTAGAATGATCCGGCTAGATTACAAAAAAAAGAATGAATTACTCATTGATACAACTAACGGACATAAAGTTCAGCAGCGATCGCATAAGTCCAGCGGTTCGTATATACCAGCCAGTAAAGAGACAGAATCCCTCGGCTCTTATAAAACACTTATGT